TCTAACCTTAAATGATGACGGATTGGTTGACGCATGATCATCAGGTGATACCAACTTAGTTTTCTGTTATTAGTTGTTACTTAGTGTTATTAGTTTTCTTCATGGTTTTGCACGATGTCTGAAGTGTCTTTTTGCGTCTCCTTTATCATGTGTCGCCTGAAGTCGTTTAGCTTTAGAAGCGTTAACACATTTTAATTCGCAATGGCTAGTGTTAATTTCACATTACTCATTCAAGTGCCTAGTCGCGCGTGGTGTGACATATTTTTGAGACAGTGAAGGAGGGTGTCGTTTGAACTTTAGTCATTGAAAAGTAAAGAACGTGTTATCATGGCGAACCATCAAGAACACTTTGTAAGAACACAGTAGCTTCTTGATCAATCTGGGAAATATTTTACATGTCCTTTGAAATTGTTGTGAGTCGATGTTTTATTAGCATTGTAACAGTTAGTTATTTCAGCAGAGCTGCAGTGAATCAACTGTTGAAGATGTGTCAATAGCTGCCCTGTCGTCTTGGTCATCAGTTGGTCATAAGAGGTATAGTTTTTAATTATTTTGATATTGCCTATATTTGCTTGATTTGCTTCTATTTTGTGGTGTTCAGTACTGGTAACTGATATTGCAGGTATGTAGTTATATAGTAGTAATTAAAATTTAAGCAAACAAACATATCTCAATTCATATGGACTTTTCTTGTTGAGATAAGAATCTAAAAATCATTACCAACGAGAAGCTAGTTCTGCTCTACCAAAATGAAACTGTGACGATTCATTTAAGTTCCCGATATTAAGAATGACGAAGTTTTTAAAGTTAACTTTCCTCAGAACTTCAATTTTGAATGAAAACAGTGTTTAGAAAAATTCTTTGCATTGTTTTCCTCCTGTCCTGAAGTCCTGAAATAATTTAGTAATCGAAAATTTGTCAGCGGTTATGGGAAAGACATTGTAAAAACAAGATATGCATTCAATCACCTCCAAACGATGCTTAATGAAGTCGAATGCATGGCGCATTTCTTATGGATTGTTCAACACTGAGCTTTAACTGTTAATTCCCTTCGTTCCTGTTAATAGAACTTCTTTCCTATTTTGCCAGAAATGTCTTTGTCATGCTTACTAAGTTAAATGGGTTGTAAATAAATAAACGGTCCCTTAAATTACTCATTCTGTAACATTCGGGAACACTACAAGCTCCATTTTAAGGGATGCACCATTAGTTTGACTTCATTAAGTGTCGTTAGAGATTGAATGGCTTAGACAATCACATGACGTGGGCTACCTATGTGTTGAGTCAGTGTTGCAATCCTTTAACAGAAGTCTGGAGTCAGTTTACCGACTATAGATGAATGGAAATCTTGGTGAACTCTGAGTGTAGAATGGAACCAGCGACCACGTGTTTATCGCTTGTCACCTCTAACCACTGCGATACGCGCGACTCATCATGTGAATATTACGTGGTCATTTACTTACTTGGATACTTGAGCGGTCCGTCTACACGAGCTGTGCGGACCCCAGCACATATGTCATTCGTTCGTTTCTCTCGCAATCGTAGTCCATGGTGGTGGTTTTACGCGAGCATGGTAGCCTTGCGACTCATACCGTGATCTGTAAAACAACTGCAGCTGCTGGTACAGCTGATTAACTTTGTTTACGAACACGTCCGCCCAACGTGCAGGTGGTCGTCCAAGAGGACGTTTGCATTCTCTTGGAGTCCACTCTACTGTTCTTTTTCTTTCTTTTCTTTTTCACCCAGTAACACCTCCTAGCCGCGATGAGGTGGTAAACCGTTGGGAGGCAATTGATGATGAGGATTTAGAATTAATGGCAATGTTGACTACTTTGTCTAGGCTTGCTTTTGTTTTATTTTCTCTCACGCTCTGTTCTACAGAGAGAGAGAGAGAGAGAGAGAGAGAGAGAAAAAGAGAGAGAGAGAGAGACAAACAAACAAACAAACAAACATTTGCTAGCAGGACGACATAATGGCGCAGTTGCTTGTGATTGTTACAGAGGCATTTTTTTCACCCTACAGTTTTTCTAGGCCTTAAATATACGTATAGATTCAAGTCAGAATATTTCATCGACAACCAACCGAGCAGTTTGGCGTTCTTTTCGATAGACAGTGATGTGATCGATGAACATGTCAGGATGGCCGGCACATGATTGAGAACGAACTCGATGCACATCAGAAGGCATCAGGGTGCCGATGAGTGGCGTTAGTACCATCACTGCCTGAGTCCACCGGTTCTTCCCAGAACGCATAAAGTACTGGTTCGAGTATGGGTCCGCTGATCGGTGCGTTCTTACGATCTGAGGAAGCAATCAATGATCTCCGTGATTCTGTCGTTAAATAACGCGTTGATCCACCCCGGAGGGATGCATCGTGTATTCGACTTCATTGATTGAATGTATATATGGCCTATACAGTGTCGTTTGCGGTAGCATGCCGTTATATCATGCCAGTGCTGCTATCCTCGTAGACAAGTCTGGTATACAGTACATTCTTGCATATGTACTAATTTCTATCTCTACACTATTTCTCTATCGAACATGCACGAACACTATTTAGTCATCTCCAAAGGACAAAGTTTTGTGTAAAAACTCTCTTTGAGAGCTTAGACGCAGCGTCCTGCTACTTTCGATATTGGCTTTAATCGGCAATTAATAGGATTTCAAACATATAGCGACGAAATGTAATGTCACTTATTATGCTTCAAAAAGTGGTTTCGAAAGAGAGTGAACAAATGGCGTAGTTATGACATGATACGGTGTAACATTGACACGGCAAAAGTAAGAATACATGGTGTTAAAGTTAAATCGTGTTTTTTGAATTATTTCAGACCAAAGGGAATAGTGCCTTCGTTTTGCAAAAAGTCATAAATGCTTTTTGAAGCGCTTGAAGAATTAATTACTTAGTGGACGTATATACAGAGCCTGTTTATAGAAGACCCGTAGACCTGTCATTCAAAACCTATAAATACTTCGTCTAAAGTGTTTCGACATTAAATCTGCCCAGAGTTCTAGTTTGCAAAGGTTGTTGTAATTTGTATTTCCAGATTTTTAACACACAGCAAGTAACGTAAGCTGCACATCGAGAGACATCATTGTGCTCCGTTCAATAAGGTTACGATTATTTAGTGGGTTCTAGCTTGAAAAACGAAAATGCCTTAACGAAAAAAAAAGATGAAAACATTACATTTTATGGTTCATAAAAAATCAGGGTTTTGCAGAAGAGAAAAAATATGTCTTACTGGCAAAGATTTATAGATCCTAATGCAGAATTCCTTTTATAAAGTTCAATATGAGTAGAGATACGTTTATTTAACGTTGAGAAGCGCAAATATTTTGGAGAACGCATACCGAGCATGTGAATCATCACGTTTTAGATTCTTACTGTAAGGTTTTTGCAATTATTTCGAAATAATATGAAATTCCTCCTAACGGTTTACCGCCTCATCGTCGGACTGCGATGTACAGCGTGGAATAAATCCCCTGGCAGAGCCTCCCAAGCTAAGGAGTCCGGCGTTTCCATCAGGAAGCCTAGTTAAAAGTAAACCAATGCTAGGATCCACCACCGTCTTGGTACCAAATTAGTTGCATGGTGACAAATCTCCTTCTGATCCACAAGGGCTACGACTGCTTGTGGTGGTGAGGATCTGGGGCAGACCTCGACCAGGCTGCTCTCGGGATTCCAGGGAACAGAAATGGTTTAACCAGCAAATCTCCGAAAAATGGAGGTTATACTGGGGACCGCACAACCAGTGAGGACGTGTCATTTAAGTATCAAATATCAACTAATATGAAATTATGTATACCAGAAATATAAGTTGACATACCATTGTTTAGTAAAATTCTGAAAATGAACAATATCATCGTACAACTACTGCATTTTGCAAGAGTATGCAAAATGAATGATCATCTCCTATATTTGACTAGATTAATCCAGTGAACGGGAGAATACAAGCTTCCATCTTCTCATATGTTCGCGAACTTATTTTCGTTTGCATTTTTGCACTTCACACGATCGCTAATGCATTTCAAGTTTCACATTTTTGATTTCGTCGAAGCCATAGATTCTTTGAATCTATGAAGGTGCTTTCGACTCGACGATTCCCGCTACTTTAACGAATACGTAAGAAATCTGGGCGACACGTAAGCAGGAAGAAAGATCACTCAGCGTTATAGAACGCGCAGTTGAAAGGACAATTATAGGAGTATCCCTACCACGGAAGTGTGGAAGGAATTCGATGCTGCGCTCTACTTCAACTATCAAAGATCAGCGACGCCGTTCTATACGCCACTGTCGAAAATAACATTGGCCCAACACCTAATGCATTTGAACGACGACCGATGGACAACAGCCGTTAGGGACTGGATTCCTCGGGGATATTAAACGCACAACAGGAAAACCACCGACGCGATGGTCAGAGTTCTTCACGAAAACAACTGTAGAAAGATGCGATGGTCAACGACTCCCTAGAGCCAGCAGAACCCATTGGTCTACTTTTGCGCGCGACGAGGAGAATTGGAAGATTTATTGGCGACCGGTCAGGGGGCAACGGGTCGACGATAGGTGAGACAGGTGGTGAAGGTCATCATAGTTTTTTCTGTGGCAATGTGGGGTAAGATGGCAGTTATCATGATATCACCGTATATTCTTGATTTAAAAACTGTTTTTAAACCCAGTGTTAAAAGTGGTTACGAAATTCTCGCATCTTTTAAGGATAACGAGTTCGTTGAAGCGTTTATTCCGCAAAGAGAAATTAGAGGATGAATTTCGCAACCCAAGACTGACGCATTACATTGCTGAGCACGCTCATCCGTCTTTGCAAGTAAGCACGTTTCGTTTTGGGCCGTTCTTAGTATTTGTCATTTTCTTCTCAGATGAAGAAGGAATACCAGATGTTAGATTTGAGTGCACTTGCGGTATTTCTTCACTGGGCATAGCATAGATGTTTTGATCTGATCAAGATTTAATGTTGTTTTCGTCGTGAAAATTTCACTTTATAGATGGCGTGTCAGGATTTGGAATTTTCAATATCTCGTGTAAACCTAATCATTTCCAAGCTGTTAGATGAACGGGGCAAGAATATAAAGCATGATTATGCAACGCATAATAGGCTTGTTACAGTGCTTCAGGTAACAATATTTTGCTATTGTTTCATGTACAATTCAGTTCTTCGTTTTGAGAATTTTATATGAACTTGTGGAAGCTTATTAACAGTCAACCTTATGGTTTAATTTTCCTTATGAGTGACACAGTTCTAAAGTCAACTGTAGAATTTCAGCCACCTTAGTCTTCCTAAGTAGCCTTCTACTTTTAGATGACCTCTCTCTTTAAACCGCATTATTCTTATTTCAAAAGTTTTTTTAGAATCATCTCGCCATGGTCTCAGTTATTTCAAGATCATCACGATCTTATTGTATAGGATTGCGAAACAGTGATCTTGAACTAGCATGGGCAACTTTCATATGTTCGAGGTAATTACAACTACCGTGTCCTTTTTTCCTAGTTATCAATGAAGCCTTTCTATAAGATTCCAAGAGCTAAGAAAATGTTGAATCTGTTTCTACGTTGATGAGTTTAGGTTGTCTCGTGAAAATTGGTTCTTATTGGAAGCACTAAACGACCATTTTGCTCTATTGCGACTGAACCCTTCCTTGCTCAACGTCGGAAGAGCAATATTTGACATGGGAGGATATCAGATAGAATCGCCTATAGAAAAAAATTGGTAGTATTGAGTTGAAAAACGATTGACCTACCATAGTGTTTACGGAGGAGAGCTCTCAAATTTCGTTGTTTTATGCGAACCGTTATAAAGATATACTATATTCTTGACTGATTAACTATTCAGTTTTAAGAAGCCCATCATCGAGTCCGAATATCCTCTGTGATCGATGAAACGATAAATAAAGTCAGTCTTTAAAGAGAAGGTTTCGTTGTTGTGTGATGATTCTGCCTCATAGGTCTTCTTCATTCACAGCGATAAGCTACATCTTGAACTTGAGTAATGAAACCGTCTAAATACATAACATTAACGCAAAATCATGCAGTGAAGTTGAAAATGTATATACAGCAAATTACAAAGGAAATTGGTTCAGTGGGCAGATGTAGTATGCGTAAGAATTGCAGTAGCAGTGATGTAGAGGATTACGCAACAGGTTTATGAGAGTATGAACATTGAAATAGAAATATTGTTTAGGTAACAGTATTAATGCAACCACAATGATACTGAGGAATTTGTACTCGAAACTGCCATTTCCAGAGGCTCACATATTATCCACTGCACAACTGATGCCCCTACTTTGCTTTTCTCTCGGCCAGTTTTTTACCATAACGGTGCTATCAGCAGTCACCCGTCAACGGGAATCATCTGATAAGGACAGGTCGGCGTTGAACCCAATCAAGCTGAGGCTCTCGTCGAAATCACAATGTTTAACGGTTTTATCCACTGTCTACCATTTTTTACACGGCAGGGTACGTTGGACGTAGTTAGATATCTTGCTCCAGATTTATTAATATCCACTGTGTATGTTCGAGTGACTACTGACTGCATATATTTTTCCTTTAATTAGTAGTCTTCTAAGTGTTTATTTCTATTGTACTCTTCCCAGTGGCCATTTGTCGCGAAGATGTAGGCATTTCAAAGATATTTTTTACTCGAGTATAGTATTCCTAGAATTCATTAGTTGGTTTTAATATGCCAAGGAGCATCGTAATTATATATCTTATGCATCGTAATTGCAGTCATCCCTATGTCCTTCACGTAGCAATTCCCAAGACCGACTTTCTGTTAACCTCGGCATTAATTGATAATTCAGTGTTTTTCTTCAATAAGCAGACACGAGGTTGTTAATATAGAACTTATTAGAATACAATAGCTGACGCTTCGGCGGTTTCGCCTCCATTAGAGCCGTTTATTTATTGTAAGTATTTAAGTTATTTTGTTCGTATTTTTTGAGCAAACGCGAGGTGTTATTGTTCTTTGTTCACGATTAAGCTGACGTTTCGGCGAATTTCGCCTTCTTCAGAGCCTGGAAAGGTCAAGTTGATAGCAACCCACTCGGTCAGACGCCTCCATAACCAAACAAAGAAACCCCAAACCAAGATTTCAATCACTTTGAACACAGCTTTGCACACTCACCGCTTTCTATGAGGTCTCCACTAAGTATGTCACGTAGAGACCAACCGCACAGAAATCACGTGGAAGTATAATGTGCCCCTCACATCAGAAAAGCAGTTTTATATACTGCCCTATATCACGCGTGATAATGAGGCATTCCTCCCTGCTGTTCATTTTCGGATTTCTGGAATTAATCCAGAGTGCCTCGAGGGTTTTTCGCGCCTGTGTTCTTGATTCGCGTGCGAGGATCGTGACACATACTTCGAAGTTGTCCCCGTTATGTCTCTGGGTCCTATGCGTGCCTAGCTGGGTATTTGGGTTTTCTTTTCCAGTCAGACTGAAGACGACTGAAGAAGACGAAGACATCGAAACACTAGTGGAATAAACTTTTTATAAGTTCCTCTGCCATAACAGTCAAGAAGGTGGTGACGTGTGGTGACGAATACATTGGCGAAACGGGTAGACNACTTTTTATAAGTTCCTCTGCCATAACAGTCAAGAAGGTGGTGACGTGTGGTGACGAATACATTGGCGAAACGGGTAGACTCCTCTGTGTCCGCATGAAAGAACACCTAGCTGGCAAAAATAGACCAAATACCCCGCTAGGCACGCATAGGACCCAGAGACATAACGGGGACGACTTCGAAGTATGTGTCACAATCCTCGCACGCGAATCAAGAACACAGGAGCGAAAAACTCTCGAGGCACTCTGGATTAATTCCAGAAATCCGAAAATGAACCGCTGGGAAGAATGCCTCATTATCACGCGTGATATAGGGCAGTATATAAAACTGCTTTTCTGATGTGAGGGGCACATTATACTTCCACGTGATTTCTGTGCGGTTGGTCTCTACGTGACATACTTAGTGGAGACCTCATAGAAAGCGGTGAGTGTGCAAAGCTGTGTTCAAAGTGATTGAAATCTTGGTTTGGGGTTTCTTTGTTTGGTTATGGAGGCGTCTGACCGAGTGGGTTGCTATCAACTTGACCTTTCCAGGCTCTGAAGAAGGCGAAATTCGCCGACACGTCAGCTTAATCGTGAACAAAGAACAATAACACCTCGCGTTTGCTCAAAAAATACGAACAAAATCACTTGATCAATGCCGAGGTTAATAGAAAGTCGGTCGTGGCAGTATTTAAGTTAGTTGATGGATAGCGGTAACTCGCCCATGTATTACTCTGTTCGGCGGCTATCCATCAACTAATTTAAATACTTACAATAAATAAACGGCTCTGAAGAAGGCGAAACCGCCGAAACGTCAGCTATTGTATTCTAATAAATTCTATATTAACAACCTCGTGTCTGCTTATTGAAGAAAAACATTGAATTCCTATGTCCATTACAACAATTAGACTTTCCTGTAGGATTCATGAAAGTGATTGTGAAGAACCACATTGCGTTTGCATGAGAGTTCGTCACTTACGAGTGTAACTGCTGCCACATTCGAATCCCATTTGTAAGTTAACAGATACAGGATCAAGTGCATTGAATTTATGCACACCTCTCCGACAGTGTATATTGCTCCACAGAGCATTTTTACGGTACCGTTTGTACTCTGTCAGTAGCTCGTTCAACATCGATGTGGTCTGGCGGGACCCCTGAAGGACTTTTCTCTCCACTTAATAATTTATAAAGAAATAAAAAAACTGTTGCTTGGATGAGTTTCATTTTTCGACGAGGAACAATTGTTGTTGAGAAGACCATGCACTATTGAGACCGTGGCTGGTGAAGAGGCGCAGGAATGTCTCTAACTCAACACTGCAGTTCGGTACTTGGGAGAACATTTGCTATGATAACATGAAAAATGCCGGTCATCACGAGCACGGTGCTGGTTCGATTCGGTTCCGTTCTCTTCAAGCCTACCATCTTTACAGAGTCGGGAAATTGATACCGTACTTGTCCAGGGAAAAAATCACTCTCCGCAATTCAACTGGAAACGCTCTAGCCCGGCTATCTCAGAACTCCAGTGTTAATCGACTCAGCCAGCATTCTACGTGATCCACGATGAAACGAAAATCCACGAGCAGCAGCGAAGCTACACGCAAAAGTTGGAAGGTCTTCGTGGATGATGGGTGCGAAGAGATGAATCGAATGAGAGAAGTGCTGGGATCCACACAGCAGATGTCATGACGGGTCGTATAAAATAAAAAGATGAAAAATCGCTGATGAGACATTTTCAGAATGGCTCGAAATATGTGCTCATCAATCGGGCAATTTCACAGCACAACTTATCTTCCGACACAGTTATCACGCCTTACTACCTTCTTATTTCACAACCTAAAACTTACAATATAGAGAACATTCTTTACGAATATTGGAATGTTCTCTATGTAAATTAATTATAACCTTATGTCAAACATTTTCGAATACGGTTTCCGGTGACCTTTTCTCCATGACGATCTGATAACCTTATGTCAAACATTT